GTATTTCAGCAGTGGTAGTCTTTGAATAAAAGTATTGCGCTTTGATTAAAGTACTTTTAAGTATGAATAACCATGTAAAGATGTGTGAAAAATTCCACTTTATTGGTAGAATTTATAGCTGCATTGAAAAATCAATTTGGAATAATTCCTTTTGATATTTCGATAGATATGACTACCAAATTGGGGAAATGGGAAAAAAATGGAGTGTGTGGCTGTAATACGGCCTTTTTTTCTCTCTTTTTTTTTTTGGCTAATGTTGGAAAAATAAGAAATGTAATGTTATTGCTAGGGACGGCAAGGTTAGTGTTTTCGAAGAAGCATAGGCAAAGGTTGGACAAAAATCAATGTTTGTCTATTTATTGAAAAGAATTGATTGGCGAGAATTATAGGAATTCAAAGACAGAATGAAAGAAGAAAGAAAAAAAAACGAAAGAAAGAACACATTAAAGGTGGACGAAAGGAAGAAGGTACAAAGAAAAGAGAACGAAAAAAGAAAACAAAGAAAGAAAAAAAAAGAAAGACTGAAAGAAAGAACAATCGAAAGGAAAGACAAATGTATGAAGGAAAGAACGATAAAAGAAATCCAAGAAAGAGAAAAAAAGAAGAAAGACCGAAAGAAAGAATACACGAAAGAAAGAAAGAAAGAAAGAAAGAAAGAAAGAAAGAAAGAAAGAAAAGGAATAAAGAAAGAAAGAAAGAAAGAAAGAAAGAAGGAGGAGAAAGAAAGAAAGAATGAAAGAAAGGCGGAGAAAGAAAGAAAGAAAGAAAGAAAGAAAGAAAGAAAGAAAGAAAGAAAGAAAAATTTAAAAAAAAAACGAAAAAGGTGTGAGAATCTCTGACTAGTGTAATATCGGTCGGGTTTCGATCCCGGCTTGAAGTAATCGCATGTCTAGCCACACTGATTAGCTGCGAAACAGTCTGTCTGTTAATGACTACATAAAAAATGTGTATTTAGGCAGCAATCCCTCTTTTATACATGTTTCGTTAAAGACGACAGACAAGGTACTGCGATTAAGCTTTTTATTTAATTTTTCTTGTGTTCGTACAAGTGTTTACTTTCTGGACAGAAAGTGCTTAAAACTGTACAAATGTCCTGCATATTCGACCGATATTAGGCTATACTTTTAGCCATTATCAAGGATTATTTTATTTTCTTTTAACTGAATGTATGGGTTGTGTCATGTATGTATCTAGAGTTATAGGAATGTATTATTTTCCGAACACGGTCAGTACATTGTGGCCGTGTTCATAGTTAATGTTATTGAGTGTTGGCTTTTTTTCTTTGCATGTCCATGAGGTTATTATGCATGTATTTTCTACTAGTATGTTTCGGATGTTGTCGAGTAAGTTATTGTGTGTGTTTGAGTCCTAATGGGGCTATGATCGGATAGGTGCAACGTAAGTCGTCTGGATAGGCATGTAGTAATGTGACCATATATATATATATATATATATATATATATATATATATATATATATATATTTTAAGGTATGCTATACTTATGTGTTAACGTACTCAATATCAGGGATAGAGCGTAAATAAATATAAAAGTGGACATTGAAGTCAACACCCACAGTTGATAGTCTGTTTCATGCTAAACGCAATATATATATATATATATATAATTTAATATATTTTCTGTTTATACGTTGTTTTTATATATAAAATTTATTTAAGTAAATACTCTGTTTTTAATGAAATAGTATTTACATTTACCGAAGTGAATGTTCGAGAAATTTCACAAAAAATATGTGTCCCCCTGCAGTAATCGTACATGTTTTCCTATACGGAAGCCATTTGATCTGACGTGCTATACTATTTAGCTACAGAGAAGCATCTATTTAACAAAATCCGAATTACTGCTTTTCAAAACACAATCGTCGACAATTTTGTCTCGATCGATCATATCTGCTAATGAAACGTATCTTAATGTAAACAATGACAACATGTTATGAAATAGATTAAGCTTGACCATTATTTAATATATTTTCTGTTTATACGTTATTTTTGTAGATACAATTTAGTTAAATGCTCTGTTTTTAATTAAACAGTATTTATTACATTTACCGACCTGAATATTTGAGAAATTGCGTAGAAAATATGCCTTCTCCGACAGAGACTTTACTAAACAGACGCTTCTCTGTAGCTAAATGGTATAGCACTTCAGATCAAATTTCTCTATAGGAATACAGGTTCGATTATTATCAGAGAATGCATATTTTCTACGAAATTTTTCGAACATTCAAGCTGGTAAATGTAATTAATACTGGTAAATGTAATTAATACTGTTTAATTAAAAACAGAGCATTTACTAAAAATATATTTCAATATCAACAGAAAATGTTATATATATATATATATATAATCAGTGTTTATCTATTTATTGAAAAAAATATATATATATATATATATATATATATATATATATATATATATATATATATATATATATATAATTGGCAAGTGTAAATGGATATAAATCCGACAGAATGAAGAAAT